AAATTACTCCCCCACCTTGTTCTCTGTAAATTGAAATCTTTCAAAATCTAAGAGGGTAACACAAGCAATAGAAAAACTCAAAGCAGTTTGAGTGTTGTGTTTATTTCTACACGTGGGAAAAAATCTCAATAGGTAAAAAACTCAATCTGCAACTCTGTTTTTTCTCTTTCTCTCTGGAATCTGAGAATATCTCAACTCATCCTCTAGAACCAAACTTGAATATGCTGAAAGCTTCTTTGATTTTCATGTTGTTCTCTTATGCACTGTGTCCTTTTCTTTTCCAGGAAGCAGCAAATTGTCAAGAGAAAATAAAAAGTCACACATTTCAAACTTTCACCCACACTTCTCCCAAAAGAAAGAGAACAGAGAGATTTAAGTCAAAGATACCAGAAGCTGTCAACAGCAGTTGCTGGAAAAACAGTTGTACAAAGAAGAAAGGTCATCTACAAGAAAGCTAAAATAAAAACCATCACCTGTAAGTGAAATTGCTTTGGCAGAGAAGTGTTCTGACTTGTGGCGAAAATACTAACAAAATTGCCACTTGGAAGCCTATAGGAGGGAACATAGTGTTAAGGAGAAAAAGAGACACGTTTGTAAGGAGGGGTAAATGAAAGCAGGAAAAATCCCCAGCGATGTGTTTTGCACCCCAGTCTTTACACAACTTCCAGGTATCCTGGAGATGGGCTGGAAAATAAGGCAAAGAAAGTACAGGCTACGTTAGCCCCTTTGGGAGGAGGGGGGATCTTTTTACTATTTTCTTCCCTTCTGAGACTTGGAATAATAAACTCGAGTGCCCGCCATCAGCCCCTGTCCATCTTCTTTAGCAAACTTGACATAGTGGAAGAAATATGACACGTGAATTATTAAAGAGGAGCTAGTTGACTTTTAACCCTGGTTGCTTTTCTCAGACCCCATTACCTGCAAATTTATCTGGCGATACACTGCAAGAATTATAGGGCACGCAGGCAGATCTAGGGGGTTGTGAACATATCAGAGAAAAGCAGGCTGTTTTATTTTACCATGTGCTACACTTAAAGCAGTGAGTCGCATGTTTCAGAAAACAAACCATTCTTCTAGGAAAGGGCCCGGTTTCTCTGTCCAAGAAGCAAGACGGGAAAGAACTCACCAGCATTCCTTCGTCTCTGATTCTCTCTCCCTCCAGAAAGAGCTGCTTAGGATTTTAATTTGTTTACTTCTACTTAAATTAATTCTTAACTTTAGGAACAACAAACATAAAAGGCCCTCTTCCTATTCCCCTCTCATCTCCTTTCCTTTTGGGCATAACTGCTTTTACTTAGTTGGAAACACTTGTCAAAAGGAAAAAAAAAAATATTTTCTATGTACTCTGAAAGATAGGAGCACACAGTCCCTTCCCCAAAGTCAGTTTCGTGGCAAACTTTACAGACTATCCAGAGACTATTTGGCCCAACTGATAAGACATAAAAACCAACAGTATCATCCAGGCACTCAGACAAAAGTTTTATTTGTTCATTCATTCATTTGGGTGCTAATGAAGCAGCTATTATCCTGTTGAGGAACTGGGCAGCTGCTGATAGAACACTATGGGAAGGAATGCATTGAACACTTAGGGCTCTCTTCTTTTAAAATGAACAAGAAAGGAACGCATGATAAAATCCTAAAGAAGAACTCTCAGTAGATTTGTATATTCTGTTGCCAAGGTGAAGGTAATGATTGAATCTATCCTAAATCTGAGTGCTGGAGTAGTCAGAAATGACTGCATCTGACAGTGGAGCCAGGAAGCAAGTGATGGATGCTATTGTCCAAACGTGACCCTCCATTAACACCACCTATCAGCATCTGGATGCTGTCACGGGTTCCCATCCCTGAGCCAAGAGGGTTGCCTGGCCTGCTCCAAGGCTTCCAGGGCTTGTGTGCAGCGCTCAACCCCGCATCAACTAAATGGGTGGAGAGACCGACCCAGCCGCTGCACCCTGTATCTTCCCTGGCCTTATTACCCTGTGCGAGGCCCATTGTTTGGCAGGTGCTGCCAATTTGCTCCTTATCTTGCCTCTGTTTATGAGGGCTTTTTATTAATAACAAAAGGAGAAATGGTATTAATATTAATTAACACCATAAAATGAAACAGTTTCGGGAACCCACCAAATGAATAATCTCATCTTATAATTGGAGCTGGGGAAGAAAGGGAGGGGGAGAGGAGAGGGGAGGGAGCAGGGGGGAGATACAGATGACCTACTGGGTGACAGGCACAGGTTGGAAGGGTGACATTTTATTGTAAGCCTCCCAATGAAAGGAAGAAAAGGAAGGGACCAGTCAATTTAATGCAGGGACCAAGAGTGCAAGAGTGTTGCTAAGAGACAGAGATGCTGGCAAAGTTCTATCAGAAGCACTACTCTGACCTTATGCAAATAGAGGCGGCCAACTCTTTGTGGAACCGCTGAAAACTCCACCCCCCCCGTGTCACCAATACCTGGCATCGAGCCTTTTATTCAAATGTTCTCTAAAAACACACACAGAGGATGTGACAAAGCATGACACATTTAAGGGTTTTAACAAAACACACACAAAAGGGGGATAATAATAATAGTAGCAATAATTTTTAAAACTTGGGAATAAAAAACCCCACACCAGATCTGCCTGTGGAAATGTCACCCCTCTTTACCTTCTGGCACTGTCATTTTCTTTTAGCTGATAAGTAACCCAAAGATCCAGAAATTGCCCTTTTATTGCAAAGTAGAGCTTATTAAGATATGGCAGTGGTGTTCTGAGTACCATCATTAATTTACGCCCTGAAGAGTGTGAGGAGGGGAAGGGAGAGAGTGAGGGCAGAGGAGGAAGCTTCACACACACCGGGGACATCACAGCACACCCTGCCCCCTGATCTAGCCGGGGTAGGGCAAGGTGAGTGCAGAAAGCAAGAAGCCTGACAGATGAGAAGTTAATACTGCTCTGCTTTGGTGGAGGTGGTGGAGTGTTACTGGGAATCAGACTCACAACCTTGCACTTGCCAAGCAGGCCCTGTGCCACTGAGCCACATCCCCAGCCCAGGGCAAGAAGTGAAAAGTCACCTCAGTTAAATGGAAAGGACAGACACATCTCAGAGACCTGAGGGCACCTGGGTGCCTGCAGGAGCAGGGTCTTGAGCATATAGGACAGGACTGGGAGGTGGCTGTGCGTGTGTGTGTGTGTGTGTGTGTGTGTGTGTGTGTGTGTGTGTGTATGTGTGTGTGTGTGTAGTCACTGGCCCCGTGATGGCCAGGGCTTCATGGGGAAAAGGGTGCACAGGAAGCAGTGCTTGGAGATGGAGCCCGAAGCTGCCACACCACATGCCTCACCCCTTGGCCCCACTAAGCTGCCTGATGCAGCAGAAGAAGAAAAACAACCCCACCTCGCAGTGTGGCCTGCTCCAAACTGCTGGGCGCCCACCCTGTGAGCCACTGTCGGGGTTGGCCTTTGAGCTGGAAGACTTCCAAGCGTTCTGGCCAAATTCATCCCTTTTCCCTCCCCTTTTTTTCCTCCAAGCTGAGTTGCACACTGAGCGCAGTGGGAGCCATGGCCTCAGGACAGTCTTCCACCGGGGAAAACACCCCTGAAGTTAGGTGTCCAGCCTGAAAAGGTAAACATCAGGCAAAAGAGAGATCCTCACACTTGTCAGCCAAGTTTGTTCCTCTGGAGCTGAAGATTTGGAACTCCTGGGGCCTGGGAGGCTGCCCGGGAGGGGAAAGGGCTTCTGTCCTCCTGCAGCCTCAGAAACCTCTTTCCTGCCAGGATTGGGGTGGCCAGAACCCAGCACAACCTAGGAATGGATTGCTGGCTGCCCAGCTCCTCAAGCTGCTCCTGCTCTCCCCACTGTGGAAGAGCAGAACCTTTTCAGGAAGTGAGGGTGTAAGCGCGTCACACTTGCAACTTGGAAAGCTTCACTTAGCACCCTGTTCTTTGCCCACTCCATTTCCCGGGAGTGCTTTCAATAATGATAACATGCCCCTTCTTTTACATCTCTATGATAATAGTTGCAAATGAAAAGGTTTCTCCAGTCGGAGTTGGGGAGGCTTTTTGGGAGGTTGAGGGGCAGTAACTTCCCAGGGCAACTTCTTCGTGGGATCCGCCCTCCTCCCCTTTCATGGCGGGACTTTTCATAATGCGCACAATACTATTAAAATTTCATATTAGCAGTGTGTATGGTGAACTTTGTAATGGGAAATTCAATAGCTGCTGTAAATATTAATGGAATATGAAATGAAGCCACAGCCTGGACCAGCCCTGACAGTAAAACCCAGTGAGCATGTGGCGGCCCCGGGGCGAGAGAGGCCTTTGCTCTTGTCGCTGTACCCTTATTACATTAGCGCGGGCCTCCCCGCGCCGGCGTGGGCTCAGAAGCCGAGGCGCTGGGTCACCCATGACAAATGTCCCCGTGTCTGGCCAACAGGCCCCGCCTGGCCCTGCCACTCCATCTGCTCAACAGGCCCCCGGAGAGCGCTTGCGTGTCAGTTTCAGGTAAAGAGCTCTCCAAAGCGCAAAGTCTACAAAAAGGTTACAGGGGTTCCTGTGTCTCCCGAGCTCTGTGGCCACCACGCCCTCCCCTTCCCTCTCCCCCTGCCCTGCACCTCCTGGGAGGAAGCCTCACTGCTGCAGGAGGGGAGAAGCCCAAGGCCCTGTTAAGGAACCCCGAGTGAATTTCCAGCTTGAAAGCGCGGAGGGTAGCCGGCCTCTGGCCCCCCACCCTCACCCCATTCTTCCCCACCGCGGTGGGTCTCGGGATTTGGTTGGGGCTGGGTAGGGCGCAGGGTAGGCACAAGGGCCCAGTCTGGGCTGGGGCTTTCCCAGCTGCCTCCACCCAGTCCCAGTCCTGCGCCGTCCTGGGTGGCCACCTGTCCCAAGGGAGAGCCCGGGTCGGGTCGAGGTGACCTGAGGACGTTTCCACCTTGGGCCTCGGAGCCAGCAGCTCGGCCTGAGCCCTAGAGTGAATCCTGGGGACACTGGGGGGGGGGGGGAGAGAAGCAGCGCTAACCGGGGCGCCCAGATGGGTCAGTGCTAAGCTGGGGCCCAGAAGCTTCCACGAGCTGGCAGAGGTGGCCATGGACACCTCACAGGCCGGGGAAGATGGGCATTCTTCCCTGCCCTACTATGCATAGGAGAGCTCATTTTTGATAGGCATTGAGCTGCACTGTGAAGAGATGGGCTGTCAGCCTTCCCTGGGGCCCTGTCAGGCTCACCTATGGACGTGTCCTCCCAGGCGCGTGGTCACTGTCTGCCCACTTGACACTGAGGCTCTGGGCTTAGCAGATCCGCGTGCGGCCGGCCAGCAGAGGACCCGGGTGACACTGGGTCACGGGAGCCACTAGGAGACATCGGGTGGCCCTGCAGGGGAAAGTCAAAATGGACTTCACAGCCCAGCCCCGGGCAGAGCTCAGGAAGGTCCTGCCACCCACCCTCCACCTTTAATTACTTCACCATTTGGAACTGGGGAGTGGAGAGCCCGGGCGCAGGAGCAGCCTAGCATCCCTGGCAGCTTCCCTAGAGAAGCTGTCTTCTCATTCCCCTGCTACTGACCCCCGAGTGTCACCAGTGCGAAGCCATGGGGTTGTCTTTACCACAGCGCTCCAGAGTCATCCTCTTGAATTCACAGTCCCCAATCCCCATCAAATTATTCCTTGCCCAGTTATTTTTCTTCCAAATTAATCCAGAATACAGTACTTCTCTCATTGGCCCCACGTGCGCAAAACCCACAGAGCGGAAAACAACTGAAATCAAAGTGGAATTGAAATGCACCAGGGGTTTCTCCGCGGGAATTGTTTCAACAAGGTAGTCGCATTTTGCCAGAGCCCCTGAAACGTTTCAGGTGTGATTTGCATCATCCCTACCCTCTGACCAGTTCCGGGAACCCCTAGCCCCTTCCCTCTGGGCACCCTGGAGTTTAATAGTTTGCCTCAGTTTCACCGGTGCCAGGAAGCCCACTTCTCCACCGTCAGGATCTTACAACTTCTTCTTCTTGCCCTTTAAAAGAATTACACTTTCCCAAGAAGACTTAAAAAAATAAAAAGGGCAAGGAATGGATGTGGGGTTTGTAAGTGTTAAATAACTTTCTCAGCATGTATTAAAGGAAGATTGTATTTTATCAAAGCTGATTGATGCAGTCCTGTGATCCCGTCGGTTTGTCTATAGTATCATATTTATTTAACCTGCTGGGGGACTCCGTTCAGGGGCAGCCTGTTCCCGCTGACAGGAGCACGTGCATTACACACTACCCCAGGTATCGTGATTGATTGTTCCCACCCCAAAGCCTTTGGTTCATAATTTAGCACAGCAGGTTCTGCATCACAGACTAGGTTTAAAAAAAAAAAATACTACCCTGTAGGAAATTTCAGTGAAGGACTATTGCCACCAAACCTTCCACCACCAAATATTTTAAATGTCTCTGGATTGTTTGGCTCTTGTCCTTAATAATTGCAGGGCATGGAAACTTTATTTACCCTAGATCCCTGAAGTGTGATCAGATGACTCATCCTGCATTTGTGGCTGGACCAACATTTCCTGGACCGGGCAGTGGATGGTACAGGAGGGAGAGGCCGTGAGGACAAGGTCAGATGGTGCAGGAGTCGCCTCTGGCACTCTTCCTCTTTTTTCCCACAGCAGGTTTGGAGTGTGCCAGCAGTGGAAAGGCAGACAACACTGTTCTTTCCCACGCCTGCTCTTCTGAGTTTGCTTTGTGAACTTAGTTTATAAAGTTTTCAGGCAGCAAGCTGGATTCCTAGCAGGTGTACTCACTCTAAGGGTGAAGAAAGATTTCTTTTCTTCTTTTTTAAACAGCTGTTCAGTGTGCAAGCAAACATTCATAATATTTGTGTATTTTCAAGGACAAGGACATGATGCTATAGGCATGTCCTAGAAATTCAGAAAGTTGTAACTTGACATTAGTATTACATAGTGCAGGACCAACGAATAATTAATCCCTATTAGATTTCTAAAAGGAACTTTTGACAATTTTTTGCTAACATTAGTAAAACAAACATATATATTATGGATCAACTAATATATGTTTGTGTAGTAAATGTTTTTGTCATAATAAAATGGGGCACATTTTTCTGTGCATCTTGGTAATTATTATCGTGACTGGTAATATTTTTGTTTCTGTGTGTAAAAGCAATGTTTTCAAATTGTGATGAATTTCTACTCACAAAACTGCTTTTCACTGTACTAGATGTTTTAAATTTGTCTTTTAGAGATTCTTGAAGTCTGAAAAGTCATATCTCTCGCTCTCGCTCTCTCTCTCTCTCTCTCTCTCTCTCTCTCTCTCTTTGTGCCTATCAGTTTTATTTTGTGACTTTGGGTCAAACGGGGAGTACATTACTAAAATGGTTAGTTGTATAAGTATGTAATGCTACCTGCAACGGTGGGCTGGTAGCATACCATTTTTAGAAGGAATTTCAAATACGTTACACCCCCTAAAGTATTTTCTTCTTCAAGTCTTAGTTTAATGTTAGAGGAATTGTGTTTGATATTCTGAGTGATAGTAGATTTTTTGGTAATGTTAACAATTTTTTCCCCATCCTTGAGTATCACCTATTAAAGTGTATCTTTTGGCTTAATTATGTATTTTAAAATAGTGATAGAGGCATGAATCACATGTGATACACTTCTGATACCAGTTACCATTTGCTTCTATCACACATGCCTTAGTTCTGTTGTCATTAAAGTCTCTGTCTTAATGTCTCTTGCTAAGAACAGATCTGAAGACCCCCATGGCATGCTTTCTTTGCTGATAAAATCATGTTCAGCAACTTTTTTTAATCTCTAGATGTTGCTATTTATCCTTCAATGATGTTCAATGACAAAAATCCCAGAATGTTTGCAGAGCTCCAGGAGAGGCATCTTCCTTCTGAGAGAACGTCCAATATCGAAAGTAAGTACAGATGTTCAGATAGAAGGCGAAAGGGTAACCTGGCATAGGAAATGTTTACCTGTGCTTCCATGGCAGCCAGGGCCACTAAGGCAGATCAGGCAAGGTGAAGGACCGGCCAGTATTTGTGGTGATGAATTCTACACAGTTTAATCACATGAGCAACAGAAGTTCCGAGATACCACGGTGAACTGAGTCACAGCACTGTTGATAGGTGTTTCAGCAGTCATAGGTTTGCACTGGGAATAAACCTTCTCACGCCATCACACCAAGCTGACTTAATAGACCACTGTGTACATTATCCATAATGACGAAGAAAACCAGCTCACTGTTTCTTGGGGAGCTGAATAAATTGAATGGCGTCCTATTTAGTTTCAAGGGGACAATTTGACTACTTAATGCCAGCACATACATATCTACACGTACAAATTAACTTCTTGGAAGTCTGGCCCCCATTTAGCTGTACAGCCCTGAGCAAGTTAGTTTTTTTTTCTGTTCCTGGGTTTCTTCATCTTGTGAAGTCACAGGAAGTACATCAGGAGTTGCTGTAAGGATTATGTGAATTAATTCATGTGACACTCAGTTCAGAGCTTTCCACATAGCCCTTCCTAGTCATTTATCAGTTATTGCTTCTAGCCCATATAGTGTCCTAATATCTTATTAATATTAATAATAATGTTTTTGTTATGATTACATATAATGTGGCAACCAGACGCTAAAAGTTCAATTGTATTCTTTTCTTTTCTTTTTTAGGTAAATAAGGCAATTTACCATAGCAGCAGACTTACACATCTACCAACCCCTCCTTCTGCAAGGGCACAGGTCTTGACCACTTTGTGCTTGGTTCTCTGGGATAAGGCCAACATTTCACAGACTCATTCTCTGAATGACAGCCAAAGAGACCATCAGTTCCTCTCATTTCATTTGGGACTGACTTTCCCACCTGCAGGGGACACGAAAAAGCGAAACTGAAGCCCAGCCTTGCTGTGCACACAGTTCTTATGTTACGTCCCCAGGTTACCCTGGAGAGGTTAAGTTAAGGAGTAGCTTCTCCAGTGATTTCTCCTACGGATCGGCCTATCAGTATGAGGCGCTGTTATGAAAACAATGAAACTAAATCTGAACTGGTCCTATTGAGACTTCTCCAAAACCTGCCTGATACTGAAGTTTCTAAATTACAAAGCTGCCAGTCCAAGGATAAAGTGACCAATGTCCTCCTGGTGTCCTTCAGACCCAGATACACTAAATAGCCTTCCATGTAAATGCCAGGTTAGCATGTGGCTCCAGGAAGAGGTGGGAATGCCCCAAGTCACAGGGAAATTCTAGACACCTTCATAAAATCAAACCACCCTGTAACTCACTCTGTGGCCACTCTAGGTGACAAGGATACCAGCGTGTTCTTCCCACAAGTTTGCTTATACTAAATATCTGAGTCCTGAGGGCCAGGGATATAGCTCAGAGGCACAGCACTTGTCTGGTGAGCATGAGGTTCTGAGTTCAATTCCTAGTACAAATAAATAAATAAAATAAAATTGATAATGGGTATGCTTAACATTTCTGTTAAAAAAAAGTCTAAGTCCTTCATAGCTTTTTAAAACATCTTCTGTTCATGATATTTAATACTTTACTGATATTTTAACATTCTTTGCTGGAAGTAGCCTTTGAGATTTTGTACTTCATATGTGCCATGCCCTACCATCTATTATATTAGGTTGCCTAAGTCCAAATTTACTTCTAACAGAAAGAGATATTTCCAAACAACATGTTGGAATATTGATTCACATGTAAGGTCTTGATGTGAGTAGGTTGGAATAATAAAAATGTTCAGGGTTTGACTTTGTTTCAGACCACATATTTGGCTTTAGATTTAAGACAAAACCAGTTTTAATCAGAAATCTTAGTGGCATAACGTCAACTGTGGGATGTTTTTCTTTTTGATTTTCGAGCTGGCGTCTTGCAATTTGGATTGTACGGAAGCGGAGATCAACACTAAAGGAAATCGAAATCCAAGTGTTGAAGATGGCACAGAGCTCCCTGCCCTCCTCTCCAGGCTGCACACCGTGGGTCCAGAGTGTAACTTGCTTTCCGAAGTCAGGTCACACAGCCTCAGGTAGGAACAGTTTTTAGCTCGTGTCCTTCCCCCAACCTACTCTTGCAAACAAGCCTGAACAGGCACTGCTGTTTTCTGACATGTGTTCGCCTTGACCTTGCCCTCCGGACCACGCCCTGCTTCTCTTTCAGTCAAGTGTGCCACTTCCCACTTAGCTTTTGCATGTACTCAGTGTGATAAGACAGAGTGTTTCCACCCCGTGTGGGCACCACGATTGCCTGAAACCCTGAGGTGCTGCACTTGGTGAAGATCAGCGTGCTCAACCTCAGTCAAAAAATTTGCACACTTGTAAAATATTACTCCTAAGTATTATCTGTCTATCCTCTATCATACAATTCACATAAAATTGAATTTTAGGTGTTTAAACTCAGTCTCAGTGTTAGGCCTTTTCTCTCTTTTTTCCATAATTTTTCTTTTGCAGAGAGGACTAAAAGGAATTTGAGTGAAATACACAAACATTTTCACAATGGCTCTACAGACCTGGCATGAATCCTTAACTAATAATAATTTCAAAGTTGCTTAAAAGGCACTAACAAAGATATTAGCGTATCTCCAGAAGGGCAAATATACCAGGGTAATCTGTCGTTTCCTACATGTGAATTGTTTGGACTTAAAAAAAATTTTAACTCACACATAAATTCTTTTTAAAAACATGGCCCTTTTAAAGATTTAGCAAATAGTTAAACAAGTTTACCCAGTTCTCCCCCCCCTTCCTTTGAAGTGCACCTCCTAAGTAACAGACACTTTAACTTGCCTTTCTATTAGACAGCCTTTTTCTTTATTGCCTTTTCATAGCACAGCTATCAAAAATAAGATAATGCCCAAAGATCTGGGACCTAATCAGCTTTCTGGCTGAGTTTAAAGTCTGGGGACCATTTCAAGGTAGCCCTGGTTATGTGTGCGGTCCACAGCAGTGTTTGCTCTGCTCCGTTTTGATGGAGAGGGTAATGTGTTTGCTAGATAAGGAGAAAGGGACCAGCTAAAAAAGCCAGGCTCTGTTTGATAAACCCTGACATATTTAGCCATTTTTCACACACATAAAAGGAAGCTTTAAAACGCCAAGGAAAATAGAGGTATCCATTCAAGCACACTAATGTTTATCAAGACAAAAAAAGGTAAATAAAGAAAATTGGCATCTTGTAGTCTATTAAATTAATTAGCTCTAGAGCTTATGCTTAAATTGAAAAGCTGGCTAAAATACAAGGCTATTTCTTGTTGTTGTTACTTAATGTGAAAGGTAAGTTCTTTAAGTTAATGTACATTGGAAAGAAAGTTATTTTGCTTGGTTTGTGTTGCCCTGCTGGAAGATCTGAGAATCCCCTAAAAGGGGCTCCTTCATGAAGCTGCACATCTGTAAGGCCAGGCTGCACGTGGTCAGGATAAGAACGTAATGTGAACTTAGTGCCATAATACATGATGGCATTCTTTGTAAACTGACCTGTAGCTAGAAAACAGATTGAAAAACGCCAGAGTAAAAATATACCCCCTGGTATGTTATAAGGCTCTTACATTTTCAAAATCCAATTAAAATAAGTTCACACATAAACATGTCTTAAAACAACACAACATACAACCTAGAATGATATTTAAAATGCTAGGTGTGAATCTTTTATGGCTTTATTAAAAATTCCCTTTTCTAGACCAGGCAAGGAAAAAAAAATCAGAAAGTTTTACAAATTAAAGTCATCTCTCAAGCATTTCCCTTACTCAAATATAAATTTTGGCTCAACTATTTTTGTTTTTTTACTTTGAAATTTTTTTTTTTCTTTTGGTCCCCCTGGATCCTGGCTCAGGTTTTATACTGTGATGACTTAAACTTAGAAGGAAAAATCAACTCCAGATCAATAGTGGAGTGAATTTTCAAACTCCTTTCTTGGAAAAGATATTTTCTTGTCACTGTTTTTTTTTTTTTTTTTTTTTTTTTTTTCTAAATTAGAAGCATTTAGTAAACTAAAGAAATATTCTCTGCTGATTAGTTCATTTATAGAATATTTAATAATGTAATCACTCTACTCATCCGAATCTCCAGAAGTGTGTATCTTCTATATATTAATCATTTAAAATATTTTTATAACTTGGTGCTAATAATCTATATGAATGTGGGTTTTAGATGAATTTAATGTCAACTAGGGATTAGGGTGTATTAATTAAATTGACTGTATCTTCTATAATGAAAAAAAGGATTTAGTTTTAATACTGATGGTCTTAATAAAGCTTCTCTCTACCTGTCAGTATTTTCTCAACATTAGGAATTATTTTTATTAAGAAGTGAATTAATTTAATATTGGCAGTGTGGCAAAACATGAAACAGATCAAGTGATTACAAAATGACTGTTTTTATTATTAAAGTTTTATAATCAAACTAGGTAACTTTCAATTAAAAAGAAATCAATTTATACCAGCTATTTAAAAATAAAAACATAAATTGGACTTCACGTTTAATTTTCGTTTTAGTATTGTATAAAACATCTAGCCATCCGATGGAATTACACATGCATGGCATCTAGCTTTTAATGCAAATATTTATCACATTTGGTTGAACTCTGTTAAGGAGTACTAAAAGTCATATCTTAAAAATGCATTTAAAGTAAAATTATGGTCTCAAAAGGCCGACTAGCAAAAGTAGATTCTAGCAGACATCTGAAGTCTCTGGCATTTATTTCCTTATCACTATAGTGACAAGGATACACACACCACCCCAAATACACGTGGAGGGTAAATGGGCTCCTGGTGTGTCTTGCCCTTCTGTGTGATTAGATGAATAAGACAAATACGAGCTGAGCAAACCAGCTTGAAGTTCTTATTCTTTGTTTTAGGTTGCAGTCACTGGAGTTATAGGCTATAATTCTGTAAGGTAAATATTTGTTTACTATTATTTTGACATAGAAGATGGCTAAGTAATCAGGGAGAGGAAAGTCTAGTAAATACCAAACCATACTCACTGAATTTGTGTTCTGAAGTAGCACTTGATACTCCACAAATGTGTACAAATATTGTACAATTATTATTAAAAATAAAAGAATCTTTACCAAAACTAAAAGAAACCAAGAACTCAGGCCTTTCCTTCCTTCCTTCCTTCCTTCCTTCCTTCCTTCCTTCCTTCCTTCCTTCCTTTCTCCTTTCCGCGCTCTCTCTCTCTCTCTCTCTCTCTCTCTCTCTCTCTCTCTCTCTCTCTCTCCTTCTCAGCGGCATATACTTTAATAGTTTCAATTTATGCTCAGTTTTGTCACTCACGTCCTCATGAAGGCTCCTCACAAAAGAGTGTCCAGTTCTTTTCTCCCCAGTTTTATCAAGCCACCTGTCTTGTGTTTAAGAGCCTAATAAGCCAAGCTACGAAAGCCTTATATTTACAGTAAGTACCTGGAGGGAGCCTGGGTCTTCAGCAGGTCATCACTGGCGTCTCTTCTGATCAGTCAAATAAGAGGATGGGTCAAAGTACAATTAAACAATGATCTGTTTATGAACTGTAAGCCCAGCAATGCAGAGGTCCAGACCAGAGGCTTCTATAGAAAAATGCTGCATCCAGGTATAGCCAAGAATTTGCCAGCCTAGTGTAGCTCTTTCTAACATGATCACCCTGGTTTCAGTTTAGCTTTGCCAGTTAAAGAATAAAATCTACTTTTCTGGCTTGTTAAGAATATGACAGAAGGTATCCAAAGTTTCTAGCTCTGTGTCTGGCATAGAATATGGTTTCTATAAAGGATGAATTTCATTATTATCTCCAAAAGATAGTGACATTGAAACTCAGTTCAGAAAACAAATTAGGTAAAGAAAAGTTGAGACAATTGGGTGAAGATGTGCAAAAGTCTTCCAGTTTTCTAAGGGAAACTGCAGGAGAGCTCTTCAATGCAAAGAACTCCCTTATAATTCAATCAGTTTGAAAACATTTAGAAAGCTAATCTTGCTACTTGTCAATGGTGGCAGAGTGAATAACTGGATCATATCAGAGTTGCTCAAATCCTTGTTTTTCAAACCTGAATGCATAAAATGGAGCCAGCCGGGAAACTTTAACAAATACCCATATTATATGTATCTGAAAAATGTCTTCTTCCACAGACACAAGCACATGCTTTACAAGTATAATTTCTAGTACTTATTAAAAATGAGATGCTTTAAGGACTTCTTTTAACAAACGATATTGCAATCACAGAAATCATATGTTTGATACATTACAGATTTGCTTCCCAACTTTCTTGTCAAGTTTGCTTAAATTTTTGGATTCTAAATTTGTACTTCTGAATGTTGGCAGAGGATCAGAGCTAGATAAAGAGATGATAAGCCAAACTGTCCACAGAAACCTGACAGTGAGTAGAGATGAGTGAGCTAGGTGATGTGATGGGCTTGGAATTGGTGGGGGCTATGGCGTGGAGAAATTCAGATTCTGCTTTGCCTTGATTTTTGATATTATAAGATAAACTGAAAATCTAGTTTTTTGAAATGTGCAAATACACATATAAAAATTCCCTTGTAGTTCCAAATGAATAATCCTGAGGCCTGAGTATACACTGTGTGTCATTGCTGGTGTTGTCTACACTGGCTGGTGGTAGCTAGAGGTAACTTCTGGCATCAGTGTTCTACAGCAGAACTTTTAAATCTTTTGTGTACATAAGAATTACTGGGGGATCTTGATATATAACAAATTCCTGGGGTACCCAGTAAGGGCTTCTGATCTATACTTTTTACAGTCTCCTAGTTGATAAGGAGACTGACACTGGCCCCTGTTAACCAGTTGGCTTATGATTATTAGGAACCCACCCAAGCTTTCATTCTGTGGGTCTTTTGGACTTCTTTCTCCTGCTCTTCCCTATCCTCCCATCATTGTATCAGCATGAAACTTAGGGATGATTGAAGCTTGTACTTTTGCTTTGGTTTGAGAAATTGGTGGGGTGTTGATATTGCTGGAGTCAGCCTTGCTGGCTTGGCATAACCTGCTCATCCCTAAATACCATGCAGTTGACCTGATTTCTGAACAAATGTAGCAAATGGTACATTATGGGTGA